TTTTTTTAATCCTTTCTCTTTCTTTCTCCATTTTGTTGTTGTTGCTTCTCTCCTCCTTTTTCTCCACGTAAGAGAATACAATAAAATCAAACATTGGATTTTTGGTTCTTCTCATACAACTTGGTTGTTTGTTTCATTAATATACTCAAATAATTATAGATTCAGTAATTGCTGCTTGAATTAGAATGCTGGAAATGTCTGCAGTGTTGCTTATGTTGAAAGGGTATGATAAAAAAAATATGTTATTAATTATTGCTCATACTTTGTGTGGAAACTTAAGATGTTGATTACCCAAGTAGTCTCTGGCATTTATTAATAGAATGAATAATCAATCATATGCTTATGCAATTAGTTCATCTGTGAGGCCATCAGGTCAGAGCCTGGAAGGCAGGACGTGCCCCTTTCCAGAGCTGCTGATTCCACAGAAAAAAGGGAAATACCTCTTTCCATCAGGTGTCCCTTCCCAAACTCCCCTCACTAATAACCCACTAATAATCCCCCTGTGGGATCACTGAGCAGACAGGTTGGATCCAAGCAGCTCACTGATATTTGAGTGAAGTTCTACTCAGTCTTACAGAGCACACAGAATTCCAGCAGCCCTGAGGTCATTCCACAAGCTCCATCCACAGTCATTCCGTCGGGAGTCGCCAGGAGCTCCGGCCAGACGGGGGCACCTTGCCATGGGTTTGTGTGGAAAACAGTCGGGAGCTGTGAGGAGGGTTTGTGGAGGATTTTGGGATGAGGGCTTGAGGGCTCCTTGTGCTTCCTTAAATCCAGCTGGGTAAGAGCACAGTCTGGGAAAGGCTGGTGCTCCAGCACCCACCTGGTACATTATCCTACAGCTTTATATGGGGTCAGGATTAACCTCTTGTTAGTGCACAGCTGTTAAAATGAAAACTTCAAACATACACCGGGTTTATGTGCAGGAATGTTTGTGTCACTTCCCTAGGGCTTAAAAAAACCTAAACTTGAAAAACTGACTAAGAAAAAAAGAGAAACTTTTTATATTAACTGATTTCCTTTCAGCTGGACTTTTACCAGAACAAAACATATTGTTACCAACAGTTTTGAAGTGTTTCTGCAAGGCCAGCAATTTAAATTCAAATGATGAAATGCCCCAGGTTTGCATTGAGAGTGAATGAGTTGCACTGGCAGCTACTATAAGTGTTATCAGTGCTTTTTGTGTTGTGTCAGTACCAATAAAACAAATATTTATCCACACACATCACAGAACATTCCTGGGGAGTGCAACCCAAATAAGGTGGAGCATAAGAATATGTTGTTGCCTGGCAGCTGCCTGTGATTTGTCCTGCTGGAAACACTAAAGAATTCTCATCACTGCCCTAAATTCCTTTGTCCTTGGCAGTACACAGATATTTGAGTCAAAATCATGCTTGTTGTGAGAGATTTGTTCTAAGGTATAGCACAGACTTGCACTCTGAATAGTTACAGGTTTTCAGGATTCCTTATTTTTGCTTTTGTTTTGGTTTTTTGGGGGTTTGCTGCTTTCTTCTTGAAGTCACTGAGTAAATCAAAGTTTGAGGAGAGTTGACCATTTTTACAAACCTGTTGTTTTTAAGTGGAGTGACAACTTCACACCCTTGGACATACAATAATTTTCAATTGATAAATCTCTTCTTGTAGATGTTTGGGTCTTCTCAAAAATATTTCCCGTGTCCCTCTTGTTTGTGCTGAGAATGTGTTTGGAGAACTGAAAGGTCGTGCTTTGGACAGCCAGAGGTGAAGAACTAGATTTGGGGATTGCATGGAAGGAATTCAGTGGGTTTAAAGCTTTCAGGGGCTTTTCAACTCGACCAGTTCCTGCCCTTGTTGAAAGCAACAGGCATTTCATGTTAATATTTATTTCCACATAAGCAGCTGATAATTGTAAATAACCAGACAAATGAAAGCCACTGGGTGGTAAATTTCTGTGAAGTCTGTCCAAACTGTAATGTTTCCTAGAACCATTAAAAAGGATGTCTTGTGGAAAAGATTTCAATGTATCTACAGGACTTGTTTTCTATAGAAAACTTCACTTTTTACCTAATGCAGATGTTAAACCTTTTTCTGATATTCAGGAAGAATATTAATAATGCTGCAATGGTATTTGGGAAAGTGGACGCTGATTTATACGAGGATGTATTTTATGTACATATCTCTGTATGTTTAAGGAAAATCTGGTCTTTATGGAGGCTGGATAAATGGATATTATTATATTACATGCAGTAGGAATTGTGCCTTTAATCCACTGATGTCAAATCTGGGTGCAACTACAAGAAGGAGCATATCCTTATTCTTGAGTGCAAGTCATACACAGGAGGTTTTTGTTTGCTTTTGTGCAAACCCAGGTTTGTCACTGGTGTTCAGTGAAGGTTATGGTACAGCTACAACTTACTCATGAGATCAAGGTGGTGGTCCAAGCAGATTTGAGAGATACTAATTGCCCAAACCCCTCTCTGCTCCTGGACAGTTTGCTCTAAGTGACAAGAGAGTGACCTTTCAAACAATTTATCTACTGGTGAGAAATGAAAATGGGTATTTTAGATGTTCCAGGTGGGTCTATGGATGCATGTCTTTACCAGGGAAGATCAGTTTTGCCCATACAGAAGCAAATAACTCTTCAGACACTGAGAAAGGCAGCTCTCTAAGCTTGATTTGAACAGGACTTCAAACACTGCTCCTATACCTGATCTATTATTAATTGGCAGTGTTAATAAATAAGTTATAATAACCAAACTTTATTAGTCAGGTACCTTTCTAGGGATAACAGATCTCCAGTTACTGGACCAGTAGGCAACTGCTTCTTCTAATTGTATAAATAAATGGAGTTTTATTGAGGAACAATAGTTCACTGACTTCTGTCCTTAACTGTGCCCTTCTCCCTTCCTCCTGACCCCCAGTCAAGATGAAAATAACCACAGCAGTGAATGATCAGCATAAGCTGAGCATCTTGTCTAAAAACCTTTTCAATCACACTTTTGAAAAAAGTAAATGTCTAACCTTGAGCTAATTTAGATGAACTAGATGGTCTTCATTGTGTCCTGTGATTTATTTTTTAAATGAATCTGGCTACTTGGGAAAAAACTAACCCAGCTTCAGAGCCAAGTCATTAACTAATTTCAGATGCTTTTATTTATATTATGTTTAAGTTCTGCTGTCTGGATGAGCTTCATAATGTAAACTGTACAAAAGCAAGTTGGGTCGCACTCAATAATCAGCTTTTCTGTGGTATTTCAAATCCAAGTTGCTTTATGTGATTCTGGACCTTTTTATTAGGACAAAAAAAGGCTTAGAGAGACTCTTACAGCATCTTCTGTACCGAAAAAAAAAATGTAATGATCTATTAAGTATCCTGCTTCTGTTGTAATGGAAGAAAACACAAACTTGGCTTAATTTCTGTCCTAAAAATGCCTTTCCTGCAGTCTACTTCCTTGGCTCCTAATTGTTTCTTCCCAAGTTGTTGATACTTCACGCTGTTCTTCAATATGACATCTTTTTTCCTTTCATAATTTTTCATCTCTGTATTGTCCTTGGCTGCTCAGTATCTCTTGCTAAATTAGACATTTCTCCTGATTTCCACACAGTGTTTTATGCAAAGTTTATCATCAAGAAGTATTTAATTATATTTAACTGCAGAGGGAGGGCAGAGGGTTCAAATACAATATAATGAAATGTAGTATGTCCATGAAGTTGTGGAGGAAGAACAGAACTAGTGAGCTCTACTGGTGCACTGGGAATTTCCACCAAAATAAATGCCCAGGTGCAGTGTCATTGCTCTCCCACAAAATCCAAATCAGTTCAGATTCCCTGGAATTGGAGCTGTGCCAATACCTGTGCAGGGGGTGGCTCTACAGCCATCTTAGTACTGAGACAGTGCATTTTGAAAGTTGAATAAAATGGCAAATAAGCCCTAGAATTTTAAGCTAGAGAAATGGGGAGTTTAAAACTTTCATAAACTAGTGGAAATCTTTTGCCTCAACAATTTTAAAGAGAAATACTGGAGAGAAAACTTGTCTCTTGCCTGGCAAGAAAAAAGAAAAAGCGTCTGCAACTTCTGTGTTCCCTAAGTGTTCACAATCTACCCCTTCCTGTTCTTTCTGAGGTTTCATGTTCATTTAATTTTATTTTTCCTCACAAAAAATAAACCTCTAGTATGTATTTTAATTTATTCCCAGTTTGCTGTAATTAAGTTGCAGATAAACACATGGTTACCATATGACAGATTGATACTGAAAGGAAATGCTTTATAAGAGACACAGTATTATGTGTATTCGGGCTTTGGTGATGCTGGTTTGGCTCTTCTGTTCTAGATCCAGTGAGGAAAATACAAAAAATATGGAAAATTAATGGCCACGTTGTGAACATAGTGACAAACTGAATCATGTAGAGCCATGGCTGAGTCAAGCATGAAAAATAATAATGTTATGGAAATGTGAAAGAAGGAAAAGAAATGGCAATGGAAATGGAGCAGAGCCCAAAAAAGAGAAGCTGTGATGGGGGGGAAGATGAAAAGAAAGAACAAAGCAAAGGAACTTCCCTGACACTTTGTGTAGGCTCCATGGGTTTGGAGGGGAGTGACTTCCAGTCGGGTTCAGACACTTGTGTGGAGCACTGACTTAACTTTAGGAGGCAGATGTAAGACTGACCCTTAGCAAAGTGATCACCAACCCCTGAGTTACAGATCTGGGCTGATACAAAGTACAGCTCTGAAGCTGGGTGGCTGCAGAGCAGTTTTTATTTGAGTACCCAGCTGTGCCTGAGGGAACCGGGCGTGTCCAGAGCTTGGGGGCAGATTGGAGGAAATGTTTGCAAAGATTCCTCTGTCCAGGGTATGCAGGGTGACAGTTCTTTACAGAATCATGGAATGGTTTGGGTTGGAAGGGACCTGAAAGATCATCTGGTTCCAAACACTTGCCATGGGCAGGGACACCTTCCACTAGCTCCAAGCTCCGTCCAACCTGGCCTTGGACACTTCCAGGGATCCAGGGGCAGCCACAGCTGCTCTGGGCAACCTGTGCCAGGGCCTCACCACCCTCACAGGGAAGGATTTCTTCCCAGTATCCCATCTAACCCTGCCCTCTGGCAGTGGGAAGCCATTCCCCCTTGTCTTGTCACTACTTGCCATTGTCAGACTTACTTGTAGCCCCTCAACTCTGCTCCCCAAATTCTTCCTTCCTCTGCTGACAGGGAAACACTTGTGTCATCAGCATCACTCATGATCTGCGTTTTCAAAGCCCGGATCTGAGCTGTGGGAGCTGTGCTGGCACTGCCACGTTGACAAAACCACTTTGTCATTGTGCTTTCCTTGCTGCCAGCTCCTCCCTTGGGCCCCAAGGCAGCGGTAGTTTTGTGTGATTTGCATCACTCAGATCCCCAGCAGGGCTGGTTTCCTGGGGGAACATGTTTCCTTAGATGGGAAGGTGGGAGCTGTGTTTATTCTGAGCCATAATTACGAGTGGTGAAGCTTCCTAAATCCATCCTGCAAATGCAGGGGTGTAATTTAGTTGAAGGGGGAAAGTGCCTTATATTTTCTTGATTACAGTTCTTTGAATTGCACAAAATGAGAAACTTCATGGTGACTTTTATGATCCTTTCTGCTCTGAACTTTCAGTGGGCCATTCTTTGAATGCTCAAAGATGTTATAATTCCAGCCCTTGCAAAACATTTTAGGCAGTTTTCAGCGCAGACATTAAAAATATATATAGTGTGCAAGGACACGTTTATAAAATGTTTCCTTTTATAATTCTATAATTCATATTTTATTGTTTGAAAACAGGTTTTATCAAGGTTTTTCTTCTGCAGTAGGAGATACAAGAGCCTATTTCCATAGCTGTAATTTATCACATATCCCATTGCTTCAAATTGATACTTTCACTTATCCAGAAGTAAAAGCACTGCCAACTTCCCAAGGACATGATAATGATGTGATGGGAGTTGAGCTCTGTGTTTGTGGGTTTACACTTTACCTGAGATTTAGTTAAACACACCCTTTGTCTCCAGACAAGACCTTGGGTTACACCATTGTCACCTTTCAGGCATAGACCAAACTGAGTTTGTCCTCTCAAATCCATGGAAAGTGGGGATGCAGGAGCCATTGGGACACCCCACTTGAGCATCTTCCGCTAGAACATGTTGTTTTGGGCACAGAATTTCACGTGGTGCTGATGCTCCAGCAATCCTTGTTCCTGTCAGGGGTGTTTGGGATTAGTCCTGAAAAAACAGATGTGGCCAAGCAGGGCTGTGCTGGCTCGAGGTTCCCTCGTGTTTCTGTGCCTGTTGCTCAACCTGAACCTCATCATGGGCAAATGGGAGACAGTTGTTTAAGCACACACAGCCCTCCCCAGAGCATCAGTGTTGTTAATCCAACTGATGTGGCACTCAGCTGGACTTTAAAACATTCCGAGTTCCTGAACGCCTTTACCATTTTAAGTCTGAGAGATCTCTGCATGGGAAGAGGCAAGAAAGGCAGAGTTGCATCTTGTGGAATTTCTGTAAAAACTGAAGTGCAGAAAGGGAAGTTGCTCAAGTGGGGCTTGGGCAGTTCCAGCTACTGTTTGAGAAATACAGATACATTTTGTGTGACATCAAGTGTTTCTGGTGTCCCACATGTTTTAGTATAGGGGGAAGTTGGAATGAGAAATGTTTTTCTTGAATCCTGAGTATTCAAATTATTTGTAGAATTCTACATCAGCAGTTATGTGTTGTATTTCTTCCTCTAATTGCACCTGGGGACATGGTTTAGTGATGGATTTGGCAGTGCTGGATTAATGGACTCGATGATCTCAGAGGGCTTTTCCAGCCTTAATGATTCTGTGAAGATCTATCAGGAACTCCTATGATGGACAGAGAGATCAAGCAAGGAGTGGGACACTGATTCCCAAAGTATGCTCTTCTGGGATACTTCCATAACTGGGCTGCTGATAAACTTCCTTAGCTCTAGAAACTAAAATAATAAAACAAATATTGACTTTGAGTGAGATCCCAGCTCTGCACTGCTCTGAGTTAGGGAATAGTCACAGCATTGCTCCAAATATAGTAGACAATAATTGTGTAACTCTGGATAAACCACTTTCTAAATGTTGCTCTATTGCTGTAGTGAAATTCATTTAAAAAATTGCAAAGAGAGCTTAAAACTGTGGATCATACATGTACACACAGGAAATGACTGTACCAGGAAAAACAGCAGATTGAAGAGTCCCACTCCACATCTTCTAATTCTTGTCCCACTTGCTGCATACCTCTAAAGCAAAAATCCCTGTGCAGAAGTTGCCAGGTTAATATAATCAATATTCTGTGTACCAAATAAATATTTTAGATAATACAGGATGTCCTTTCACAGAAAGAATATGAAATGCCATATAAATACTGTTATTTTTCAACCCAAAAATATGTGGGGTAGGATAAAGTGTATTCTCCTTTATAACATAAATGTTGAAGCTTTACAAATAACCCAGTAGCTCCAAAAGACCTTTGTTTCCAGTATTAATCTGCTAAAGAAACAAAGATTTAAACATGTTGGCCTGTAAGGTAAACAGCTTCGGGGCATCCCATGGAAGCAAATTCTAAGCAGTTCTCTCAAAGTTATTTTGCTTTCTGTTTTCATTGGGTTTTTTGATATTTTATGGGTCTGCATTTTACCTGTGTGACTGAAACTCCTAAAAATAGGAGGAAATTAATTCACTTTACATTTGCATCAGTTTACACATCCAGGAACAAATCGTGGGAGCCAGAGCTGGTTTAACAGTCATTTAACAATTTATGTCAGCGTTGGGTAGTTGTTTAATGGACTGGGGTGTGTTTATTTGGCCAGATCTAAAGCAGTGGAGGGAGCTTGGTTTGCCCATAATTGACATTGTGTTGATAACAGTGGGATCAGCTGAGTACACTGAACATCTGGGTCCCTCCTGTTTGGTGTTTTCTGTTGGGTGGATGCTGAACAAATCCCTGAGGAGGCAGAGTATGGATTTACTGACTGGGCCGATACATTTCAACTGTAATTACTGTGTTTCTTTCTTTAGATGCTTCCTAAAATCTCCTTTAAATGAAATTTGAGGTGAGGTCTAATCAAACATAAGGCACATTAATTTTTCCCTTTGTTGGCTTTTTGCCTTTCTGACTCAGTAATTCCAGCCCATCAGACTGGAAGCCTTTTTCTGACTGTTGTGATGTGGTGCTTTCCATGGGCAAAGTTCAGACCCTGCAGGCCATGAGGATAATATTTAATGACACTGGTAATGTTTACAGTTTTCTATGAAAAATATGCAAACACTGCCATTGTACAGGAAAATCTTCTGCACAAAGAACAGCAGCTTCAGCAGGTGAGAAACTCACAGCAGCTGTGGGCAACAGGATCCTCCTCTCCTCGTATATTCTAACAATTCCAGACTTTTCCTGTTGATTTTCACTTCAGAACAAGTCTCAAGAAATGCAACTTTGAGACAAAAACCTTGCCAAAACCACAACTGTCTTCTACATCTTCCTCTGCTTGCACTGTGGGTTTTTCTTTCATCCTTGTTTTCAGTTCCTGACTGTTCCTCAATTTCTGCAGTGCTGCTCTTGCCCAGTCAGGGAGTGGGGAGGAAGGAAAACAAAATCCAGGATGCTTTTGTGTTCAGACACAGCACTGCTCATTTGTGGGTTACACTGGTTTCTCCTCTGTCAAAGTCTGAGGTGCTTGTTGGTACCAAAAGAAGTTAAATTTCTTGGAGAAATTATCCACTGGCTTAGGGCTTGCCACTGTGCTTTAAAAATACAGCAAAGTGTAAATCCTGGTTGTATTTTCATGTTGGTGGCAGCTGCCTCAGAGCATAAAACATTGGAGTTAACTGAAATGCATTAACAAATGTCTTGTCCAATCTTAAGCTAAAACTCATCAAAGGCACTGAAATGACATTTCTAGGAAGATAATAGTACATGTGAGGTTCAGTTAATTACAAATAAACATAGTTTGTGACTTGAGGATGAGAGTTGTTGGTGAAGTTTGCACCAAAGATTTTAGCAATGTGCATCAAGGACAGATAAATTGTAAGATCAGATCTCCCCAAAGGGACCTGTAGTTATTTGGGCTCACACAAGGCTTAGTAAAAGAAGAAATACAAATTAATTTCCAAAAATGTAATTGCTGCCCTTACTTTCATTTGGCAGCTTGGTGGTTGCTGCTTTTAAGTGTCTGTAGGACTTGACCATGGTAATAGTAAAATTGTTCCTTTTGTTGTTATCTGAGTTAGATAAGTTCAAATCAGCCTGTTGCTAAATCCAGGGAATGAACTTGTTGGAGAAGAGGCTCTGAATTCAGGCCAGGAGCCCCTGGGGATGGTGTCCCATGGGATGGTGTCCCAAGGGATGGTACTGCAGGGATTGACCTGCTCGTTGGCAGTGGGAGCAGCACAGTGGCACTGGTGGTGATTGTTTGATGCTTCTGGAATTTCATCAGATCATTATTGGTATTCTATATATCTAGAATTTTCATGATTTTCACCAATAATTTGTATTTGAATTACTGGTGTTATGGCAATGTTGATATTAAGGCCTTGATGCTCCCACCGTGTGTGACTTCAGTGGGTGATAACGTGGCCTTAGCTGAGCAAACCCTACACACAAATCACCCAAATCAGAGCCCACAGGGAGCCTCCTTGGTAAATTGAGAAGGAGCTTGTACCTGTGGAGGGGCTCATGGTGGCACAACTCTTCATATCCATCCTTCTTACAGAACACCGAGCTCAGAACCAGCAGTAGCAGTGAGCTGTTGTTCCAGCTGGGAGCAGGGTTGTGTGTTTTCTTGTTAAGTGGGTCAGAAGCAAATTCATCTGCTTTTATTGCAGCCTCTGCCTTGCCAATTTTGCTTTGCATTCCCAGCCACAGCTCTTAACCTGAGGAACTCAGAACGTTTTCCTTAGCAGAGATTTAGTGTGCAGAAAACTGCAATGCAGCTCTAAACAGCTGGAGAATAATATATTTTGGTTAAAAATAGCCCCTGCAAGAGTATTCCCTGGGATGGCTCTGTGTGTGTGTAAAATCTGTCCTGGGAGCACGGGAGGGCTGAGCGTTCCATCCCCACGGTCCCTCTGTGATTTGAGACTGTTCCTGTTTGAGACACAAGTTCCCATCAGATTCCCTGCTTGGACTCCTGAAGGAGCTGGAAAAACCATTTCCGTCTAGAAGCAGTAATAGCTTGGGCTGTTGGTTTTGATCATAAACTGACATTTAAAAGTCATCTGAGGAAAGATGTTTCTTGATTAAAGGCAGGTTTTGCTTAATGCAGTTGTAGCTGATCTCTCCCATCTGGTATCATGGGATCTCTTTCCCTTGCCTGGGGTCCAGTTCACAAGATCCTGCAGGAGTTCCTGACTTTCCCAAGAGACCTTCCAGTGAATCAGCTCATTCTGTTACCCTGGTCATCACTCCGCTTTTCTTTTCCCTGGGGAAAACTTGGGGAAGTTGCTCAGCAGGGAAGATGAGGTGATAATGTGGTATCCAGAAGTGTTTGGAATTGCAGTTCTGCCTTTGCTCACCGTGTGCCTGGTGTTTGTTACATCCCAGATCCCCACATTTTACCTGTGGGATTCAGACATTACGTTCTACGTGTGGAAGATAAAAGGCAGATGGTGCGGCTGCGTTTCCCGGGGTTTATTCCCTGAATAAGGTCACTGCTTAATCCTGGGTCTTTGCTTCCTGCTCCCGTGGGGTGGTCGCTGTAAGGAGCTGTCCTGAGGTGGGAACAGAGCCGAGATCCTCACACGGATCCGGGCCTGGAGCAGCCGTCAGGGCTCAGGTTTTAGTGAGGAGAGATGTAGGTATTTGTGGTTTGGCTTTTTGTGTGTTTTGTGGATTGCTAAAATATGACCTTTCCCGCTAAAAGGCTGGATTTTATCCCAAATCCTGTGGATTTCACACAGGATCGGATTCTCCCGACGTTGAGGTTGATGGTGTTTACAGAAGGCAGAGAATAACCACCCTCTGTGTGCAGAGCTCACCTCTCCCAGGTACAGGGGAGCTTTGCCACAGAAAATCACACACCGGGATTTCCTGGAGTTGCCTCTGTTTTCCATATGACATAAATACACCCACCAGGTCATGGCAGCTACACAGGAATTCCCAAAAAAGCCCTGGGAGTGTTTCACAGTGTTTGGAATTGTAACTCTTATCTCGTTCCTCTGATGTATTTTCTCTGGTGATTCCCAAAGGTCTCGGGATGGGCGGATGAAGGTGAAACATGACTCAGTTCTTAGCTATGGACACTTGGGATCTCCTGTAAATGAGGAACACAGGAGCTGAGTTCCAGAGAGAAGCTAATCCTGCATTTCTGGTGTTGGCAACCTGGAGCTACAGAGATCAGTAGATCCTCCCAGGCAAATGAGGGCTCATAACGGATATCAGACGTGGGTTATGGACAAGGAAAGCCTGGAAAACTTGTTCTATGTTGTTATCAGAGGGGCATAATTCCCCAGGGAGTAAAGCTGGAAGAGAATCTCTGCTCTGCTGAGCAAGTGACCCTTGATCAACCACTTTCACAGTGTCACTGTCCTGCTCCGCGTCGTCCCTTCCGTGTCCTTGTTCCCAGGATAGATCCTGGTTGTTATCCCCACAGTAAATACAGTACTGGATGCTGGGTAGAAACTAAAACTGGCAAATTCCATGTGTTTTATGTCATTTGGCACATTGTGCGCGGCCCCCCTTCAGCTTGTCATAAATTCCTAACCCAGAGCAAGGTCACATCTGGGAGCGATTTCCTTCTGCCAGATGAGGCGTAATCCCATAAAACTGGACTCATTCTCTCCAGCGCCGCTCCACGACCGGCTCTCCTGCTCCTTTTCCTACAGACCTGCCCCGGGAACCCTGTGGGATGATTCAGGCTGAGACTTTTCACACTTTATAAACTGCAAGTTTTGGAGCACAGCTCTGTGTCCAGTGCGTGAGGCAGGACCAGCAGGGCACAGCTCTGGAGTCTGCACGACAACAGGCTCTGGCTCCGTCCTGTTTCCTTTTCCAGCACATTCCCTGCAGGATGTTGTGTTGTTCCTCAGTGTTTGGTGTCTGTGCATCCCCTCATACTCTGAGTAACCTGTCACCTACAGAATCCATACGGAGCTACAAGTCTGCTCTTCTTTTATGTGCTTTTAAATGAGTTCTAGCAAAAGTTCTGAGTCTTGAGTAATTCAAGATATACATTCTGAACACTGTCAAATATCAGAGGGACTTGAAAAAGGAATGGAGCAACAATCAACCTTTGCACGTTGTAGTAACTGGAAATAATTCCCAATGACATGGAAGTTTAATAGGAGTCAGTGGTTTTATGTTTGATCACGTTTCCATTATCACATATTTTGGTAGCTGTGGTTATTTTGGTGTCTCATTGCCTTTATTACTTTGTGCTTCCAAAGCCATCTGTGGAGCTTGGTGATCTCCAGCCAGAGGGTTCCAGTCAGGTTCCTTCCCTCACAGAGGGGAGGGGGTGAAATGGGGATGTATTATAATGTCTTATTAAATCCAATTAACAGAACTTAGTTAAAAAAAAAGTTCAGGGTTTCCTGGGTCTTGCACAAGGAGCTCTAAAGAAAAAAAACAGGTCAGAATTTTAAACAGTCAGTATTGTTACTCTTAATTATTGCTGTTAATCATCACACAAGCTCATGAAATCCACTGGGACAGGGGAGCACTGGCTGGAAACCACCTCGTCTGCTGTGATTTTTGTGACCCAATTTGAGCCTTTTTATTCACAGGCCAAGTATCCTGAGGTCGTGACCCTTCCAGAAGGACTGCAGGGAGATCACATCATTCTGAGGAACCCCAAAGTTTCTGGGTAAGCCAATAAATGCATCTCTTAATTGATACAGCCCAGGGATTGCACAGGCAGGGCAGGAGGTGCAGGGATCCCAGTCACATCCCAGCAAAGCCCAGTTCCTTGGTGTCTTGCCATTAAAGAATAGAAAGAAAATGGTAGTTACCATGTAACTGGAAGCAACTGTGGCTATACTTTTCCATTGTTTTAGAAGGAAATCTGTTAGATGGGAATTACTACTCTACCAGGCCTGTGGGATTTGTTTGGGCTCCCTGTGGGATGTGTTCCAGCAGGTTTGGGGTTTTCAATAGAGAAAGAAATCCTTGGAGTTATATGTAAGACAATATAATTATCACTGTCAGGAATTCTGTCAGGGCCAAGAAAAATAACTGCTTTGTGAAGGGATCAGACCATTCCCTTCTCCTCTTACATCCTGCTATAACGTGCTTTAATTTATATGGAAACAACTGGAATTTGAGCACAGCTCCCTCTGTGACATTTCTGCGTGGAACTAGCAAATAAACCCTAAGAGATGGTGCTGTCTTGGTTCAGCCAAACCTGCCACTTAAAACTACATGCTTTAACTGTGGGTTGTTGGAATGAATTGTTCTTAGACCATCAGGGTTAGGGAATAACCTGCTTTAACAGTTTCTATGTCACCAGGTGGCAGTTCCATTACACTCTCCCTCTGACCCACAGTCATGAAACACAAGAATTTCCAGGTCATTTCAGTGGGTTGGTAGAAACCAGACTGGCATAAGAATTTGTTTGCAAAATTCCAGGACAAACTGTGCACAAATTCCCAAAGGATTTGTAACAATCAAGGGGCAAAAGGCTGACAAATCACATTTGAAGGGAATTTTTACAGTTGTTATGGGTCAAACATCATTGAGAAAGGGGAGCTTCCTCCTCACAGTGACTTGCTGTGCAGATCAGCTTCGGATCAGGAAAGCCTCACCTTCCGTAAGGAATTCTAGGCTTGGAGGGGAATAAAGATGAGGTAAAGAAGAAGGGCTGTTATAAAGCAGGAGATCTGCTCTGGATGTTGCTCCAGACCAACCTCCTGCCTCACTATTCCCTTGGGATGGTGCAGTGATCTTGTCCCACTGCAATAGCTGGGAATCATGATTGGCCTTGCAAAAAAATCCAAACCCACTCTGAAGGAGTGGTGATGGTTGAGATTATTTATTTTTTTAAAGTTAAAAGCAAAAAAATGCCAGAATGCAGGCTTTGGGCAGATGTTTGCCTGTGCATTATTCTAAGACAACCATGAACAATATCAGGGTGACCCTTATTCCAAACCCAGCACATCACCTTTTATCAAACACTTCTGGAACAACATTCCTGTTCTTATCCTGTGTCTGAGCTCAGCACCTGACCCTGGGTGAAGATGTTACAGGAGGGGCTGGGCCAGGGGACACTCAGTGCTCTGCTTTGCCTTCCTCTCTTACTCTGCCCCACTGCCCTGTGCAAACAAACCATTCATAAGAGACAAAGACAAGAACCAGGGTTAAAAATCCTTGAGGCTGAAAGCTTGGAGGTACCCAAACCTTTCCTTGTCAGCAGATTACTGGTTTTCCTCAGTTAATGAAATGCTCCTGGTTCCCAAACCCAGAGATGGGTGAGTTGGATTACATGAGGTGAGTTTTGTTGGAGAGCAGGAGCAGGAGCCTCTCAAATGCTGCAGCTTCTGCTTTGGAGGAACCCCAAAAACAGTGCCCTGGTTAACCCTGGACTGACCTTCCTGTGCTCCCTGTACAGGTTTGAATTGATGATTGTCTGGAAGATCCATCTGGATGAAGAAGGGACAACTACACCTGTCCTGGACCTGCTGACCAAAGTCCCAGAGCAAGGTAACATCAGTCACTTCAGGGGCTGTTCTGAGCCACCAGGCAGAACACCAGGCCCTGTTTTGGGCCAACATCCCTTTAGAGAACACGGAAATCCCCCTCACAGAGCCCAGCCAGGCAAACAAACCCCAACTGAGCAGCAGCTGCACTTCCCCCCCTGTGTGATTCCAAAGGTTGCACCCCGTGTCTGTGTGCAGGTGCTTCACCCCCTGCCAGCACTTGGTTGAGCTCTGGGAAAATAACCTTCCCTGTTCTGTGTTTCCTGCAGTCCTGGAGCAGAAGATGACAAGAGTTGAGAGTGTCCCTGCCCGCTTCCGGAGCATGGTGCTGCTCCTCGGCATCGAGGCAGCCCTGGAGAACCTGATCAAGGTGGTTGAATGAATGCCAGCATTACTTACAGCAGGTAGCAATTTCAAAAGTAGTTTTAATTAAGATATTGTGTTACACAGTCTATAATTTTATTGAATATAAACATTAAGTTATTTTCCATTTAGAAACCATACTCATAAAACATGCTATCTGTACAATTATGGCACGTTATATATAAATTGTCATGACATGAAAATAAATACAGCCATTTAAATACAAAAATGCCAAATAAAATAGTTACATGTACAGAGTGATTTCATTATAAATTTATCTTTCTGAATCATTAATGTACCAGAGTGGTTTATCTTCTTAACATTTTCTAGATACCTGGAAATTGTTAAAAGATCATGCACTGTCAAAATCAAGTCCATAAAAATCCATTTCATTTCACAGCTCTGTAAAAGTACAGTGATTTTAAAATGACAAGAGAACAGTAAGAGACTCCTAGAACAAAGAGTTAAACAGCTTTCTCCTTAAATTAGGGTGGAAGAAGACAATTTGGAGATTTCAAAGACATACAATGGTAAAAAAACCCAAGTGTAACTGTCTGAAGTAACTTTGTTGGAAGTGCTGAGACAGCTTAAACTACCCCAGAGAGGCCCCATTACCCTCCTGGGAAGAGGTGGGTGAGTTACCTCCTGCCCACTGCAGCACTTCCTGCTTCCAGGGGCAAATTCTGGGAGGTAACATGTTACCAAAGCATCATATGAGATACATTCATCCCTGAAGAAACAAAATGGATCAGACAGATGTCTTGCCTCTCCCTTCACTTCCATCAGATGTGCCATCAGCCCTTTTGGGAACTCTCTGTGTTTTCCAAAGTTCCTGCTCTCTCCATCCCAACCAAACGACCGTATCCACCCCAAACCGATACAACTGAAGTCAGGTCCTTCTTGGGGAGGGAGTAACAGTTCCTGGAACCAAGGGCCCAAACCCACAAACTCTGGGCTCTCAAGTGACACTAAGAGACTCCTTTGCAAGGCCAGAGCTGCTGGAGCCACCCCAGCACGAGGGATGGCAAAATATTGTACAGCAACGGGGAAACTGGAGAAATCAAGAACTGAAGCAACAGTATCTTTATAATGCCATAAATGTAACAATCCACTGTTTGACCACTTTAACAGTCTCCCACTGTTCTAGTGGGTCAGGAAAAACTGCCAAACTCTACAGCTGAGCCACGCCAGAGATTGGGTTCTGACAAACAGCAGCTCTCTAAGGAAATCTCTTGTTAGATAAGGCCTAATTTCAAGTCTGGAGTCCAGCAGACAGGCAAAATTCATTGCAACTTATCCACTGGAACTGGTTTAGCTGGTTTTGTGTAACCTTTAGTTCAATTCATCTTTAGCTCCTTCTTGCCTGAAAACAAAACTGTTTGCTCAGCACAGACGCTTCTGTTTGTGTACGAAACGTGTGTAAAGTTACAGCATAAAAACCTGGGAACTTCCCAGCTGTGGATGGTCCTTCCTTCCTCCTCTTTCTAACAGCTGGTTTCTGGATTTAGAAGTGGCTCTCTCTCCCCCCCAGGTTTTGTTTGGAGAGAAAGGATTATTCCCACTGTGAGCTACCAGGTTATTGCACGGTTGCAGTATCACATCTCACATCCAGGAGAGCAGCTCCAGGCCCTGTCTCACCTGGCAGTGCCAGCCCAGGTCTCTGTCACTGTGGGAGTGGTGTCACTCTGTGTTTCACATTTCCTCCTTGAGTTGTGCCAATGTACAGGGGGTCCTGGGTTGGCCTTTTGAATTTCAGGTGAAGTGGAACAATTCAAACATTACACTGAGACCCTGATATGCTGAGCACAGGCTGCATCCAGCTCCTCAGCCTGTGGCTTGAGCATCTCTGCACCCTTCAGGGTGTGCAATCCCTGAGGGAAAAGGGGATGTAGATTTTATCATAGTACACTCAGTTTTGGATATATCCCCAGTCTCCAACTCGGGATCTTCCCCAAGGATGGCTTTACTGCAGCCACTCACCAGCCTTCAGCTGCACATAGCACTGCTTACAGAGTAAAGCCATCCCAAAAATCCCTGCAGCAGTGATACAAGCCCACCTTGGCACGAGACTGACCCCCTGCAGCTTCAGGGCAGAAAATGGGATGCTGTCACCTTTTTTCTGTGTCACTTAAAATGAAGGAGCCTGAAGCAGCTGTTGGTGCTGCACAGCATGTGGGGCATCAGTGTAATAATGCCAATGTCTGGCACCACCTGAAAGACCTGAAATGAACTGTAAAACTCAGAACAAATTCTTCTTGTAGCTCAGCTTAAACTAGGTGAGAGTGAGCTGTGGTTTCACCTCCAATAGCAGCATATCATGTAGGGACAATAAAAACCAGTAGGGCAGGAGAGTTAAGCCCAGCTATGACATAAAACTCAGAGGTGTTTACCTTAACCCTTTGCACTTAATTTCAGAAGCTTTAGGTAGATACAAGATGATCACAAAACTTCTGGAGGCAGCCTGGTGTTCCTAATCCATGCATTTAGTACTTAAGTGTTCTGCAGTGACAGGGCAGTTTCACAGATCAGCCACTGCACAGTTGTATTTTCAGTGGATTAATGCTAAAATGTTATATCAGGATTTGCCAGAGCATTCCCTCCTCTAGGAAGGATGAGTGAGACTCAAAGCACAGGCTCCAAGGCAATTCTCTTGTTAGTAATTAGGCTTTCTATGTTAGTGCAATACTTCAGGAAACCTTTAATTCTGTGCTCTTTCAATTCTAAGTAGACTTTTTGTATTAATTTGCTCTGTCCTCTAGTTCCAAGGTATGGCACATTACCTGTTCTGTCACATTAAATACATTCATTAAGGTTATCTAGCAAATGCTGTCTCAGGGCTCTGAGAAGGCATCACCCATTAGAAATCATTTCATAAAGCAAAAACATTCACAGCTGAAAAATGCACTGAACACAATAGAAAAGAAAAAAAAATCACCATAACTGTATTCCATTACTCTTTCACTTTCTAATGTGTTTGAATAAAAATAACCTCAAGGAAATGGTTACACTTTATGGAGAACTAATGTGCAGTCTTCATTCTCCTTGAAGAGGTTGGACATAACAGGGTCATCTTTGGCCTGTACATTCTTCAGGTAATAGTTGACTATCTCCCCATCCAGTTTGTACTGGTGGGGAATGCTCTCATAGGGCTTCAGGTCCAGGTCCAGCACAGAGACGGAAAAGGTGAATCTGGATTTGGATGCCAGTACCACAGATCTTTGCTCAGAGCTGGAAAACAAATCCACATTGTACATCTGAGTCACTGAAACCAGGATTTTTAATTTATGTGTCCCAAGTCCCCTTGCAAAAGTGACTCTAATGTTTATCTTAGAACTTTCATGGGAGCCCAAGAAAATAAACTGCAGCTAAAGCAGCACTTAGGAAACTACAGCTCCAGCTTTACCAGTCCTAATGGGAACTTGGTGGGATCTCTTCCAGTTGTTTTCCTTTCAGCTTGCACACAGCTGAAGTCAAACATTACTCTCAACTACTGTGCCTCTGTATTTAGTAAATCTAAGCTGTTTCTAGGTAATGCATACAAAGCAACAACCCTATTCACTGGCAAAAGCAGAAAGAGCCACTGCAACACCTACTTAGGTTCAAGGTAATAAACACTTAGTGTGGGAACTGCTGTCCAAGCATGCTGAGGGAGGGAGGATTTCTGAACTCAGCCATTGCACAACTCATGTCCATCACCAACACTTCACTCGAGAACTGCAGGGCACATACAGAAAACAATATTCTCCAAAAATACAAGGGTCTAGTAAACCAACTCCCCCCTGCAGACTATGACTGCTGACACAAGCCAAAATGGATGACATTGCAGCAAAGCCTCCTGCCTGACAGCCACAGATGTCACCTCTCGATTATTGCCTTGGCTTTACTCTAATTAGGCCATTAAAGGCAACTCAGCTTGAAAAATCTTTCATATGAGGACACTGAGGCAGAAAAATTGCACCTGTTTAAAACCACATAGAGCTACTACAAACAGTCAATTCAAAGTTCAAGAGCATGAATATAAAACCTTAACCCTTTTGATCAACTTAAAACTCTTCAGAAACAGACATGGGTTCTAAATGCCTCAAATCAGAACTCCATTAATATGTTCACAGCCAAATATTTGGACACATACCCCCTCCCCCAACCCCCACACTTTTTTTAATTACTGAATTGACTGAACTGTGCAAACAACATCTCCAATTTCTAAACAACTGGAGCCATTCCAAAGCAGGTACAGGCAGCTCTTACCATTCATCCTGCAGACAGGGGGAAAGGGCAATCATGATGGAGCAGTCTTTAGCAGTCATGGCTATTCTGTACTGCTGCACCTGTGCAACAGAGAAATAACACACATTTTCTCTTATGCTTGTTTGCCTGTAGTAAAGCATCCTGTTCCTTACAGAAGGCACCAGTGTGCTCCCTACATTGGGATGTTGGCACTGTAAGAGCTGGAAATCATCTCTGTAACAGATGGTTGGCAGGAGCAGGAGGGTTTGCAGCATCCTGTATAAGAACCATGTTTATTTCCTACAGATCATTTTCTGCTGGCCAAACCAGCACCAGTTCATGAAAATGCTTCCTCAGTGTAGAGAGCAAATAATCAGTTTTATTTTTTTCTTAAGAACTGGTGCTCCACGTCTGTTTTTAATTGCTTCTGCCATAGAGATGCACCCTGGCACAAGGAAGAACTTTAACTGTCCAGATCCTGATGAGCCAGTGGTGCTGCCTCCATCCATTATCCACCCCTTTCAGTGAGACAAGTGTTAATTAACACTGCCAGAGTGAGCCAGGTGTTAATGAACACTGCCAGAGTGAACAACCCTCACCAGAAGTACCTTTGTTAACGCGAACGCCACTGTCCCGTCATCCTCCGTGGAAAGATCCAGCAGCTTCTCATAAAACGCCTCATTGTAAGGTCCATCTATCTGTAATGTACTCCTAAATAAATGTAAAAAGAAGATTTATAGATAGCCAGGATGATTGACTGGTTTTCAGTGTGATCTTTCTTCAGCAGCCCAGACACTCAGATGAGAACAGCCCAACCACAACACTGATAAACACGTCCAAGGACTGACCCAGTGCCAACCAACGTCCCAGCCAGTCCCTGTTACTCTCATTTCACTCAAGATTTGCTGCTACTTAGGGGTTGTGTGGTTGGTTTTTTTTAAAGATGAATCATTCTTAATCCACTGCCACCTGTGTATCACTGCAGGAACAGTATTTTTTGCAAAAAATGGGTACATTTCAAAATCTATAGCAGTTTGCAGGAGTTCCCAGAAGCCTTGCTGAAACATATATATCTAAGAAATGTATAATAATATATTCGGGTTTTTTATATATATATATATATGTATATGTATATATATATAAAAAAAAGATCAGCTGGGAGTATAGGCATATCTGACAGGGCCCTGCTCTGCCCCAGCTTTGTACCATGTGCTCACGGCAGTGGCTTGGCCTCCTCCCTTCCCCTGTTAAACCCCTGAGCCCCTCACAGTGGGGTTTGCAGCACACAAACCCCCTGCAGCCCAAAGAACACATTCCCAAATTCTTTGTTTCACGTGTAACTGCACCAGCAGCAGTGACTCCACGAGTGAAGCCAGAGTGCCCTCGTGTGAGCAGCGGCAGAGGCACAGCCGAGGCACAGCAGCCCAGGGAAGGCTTTTTGTAGCAATTCTTGTTACACCAGTAAGTCTTATTTGAGGAAAAAATGGAGTAGCTTTCAATGCCCAGGCAAGAAACACCATTAGATAAAGCTTATTGAGCCTCAAGTATGATTTGAGCACTTTGTGGGTCACAGGCTGGCATTTGGAGCTGTTCTCACAGGAGGGCAGGATGGACAACAGCAGATCCACACGTTCTGCAGGACCCTCAGGCACAGGCTGGATTGTTGCCAAATATTGGATTTTAAGGGCAGGTTGTAGGTAAGCCAATAGAGACCTGAGAATGACTGTGAAAACATCATTATCCCTGCAGACATTCCGAGCTCTGCAGGGACTGGGGACAGGAGAAACCAAGCACCCATTTCACTGTACCTTTCTGCAAATACACAACCTGCACTACTCAGGAAAAGGGAATTTTTCTCTCCTACCTGTTGTGAACTTCCTGTGATCATTACTTAAAAATTCAGGCCAAAGTGACTGACACCAAAACTTTCAACAATAAAACTGATCTTTTATATTATCTGGCAGTTCAAGTTAGAAATTCAGAATGTGCAATGCCATGAAGGAAGGTTGTATGACATAACAAGACAGAGCCAGTCTTGCCTGCACACCTGGTCACTCAGAACTGAAAACAAAAGCCATCAAGTCTTACCTCTCTTCAGGGAATTCCTCCAAGTACTGTTCAACTCTACTGTACAAAGGATAGAGTCCTTCAATATCCAGCATGTCAAGCATCTGAGCCTGAAGGGTTTTATAAAGGAGACAACCCCTCGGTAAGCCAGAGCTTTCCAATTTGTGTTTACCTAGAAGAAAATGGATTTTAAAATAAGGCAGACATGAGTGTGTTCTTTGCTTCAATTTGCCAGAACATGTGCTTGTCCACAACACAAGGCCAAATACTTTTAGTCCAGTCACACACAGGGAGGGGGAAATGTTGAAACATTTCAGTTTCCAAACACTAAAGTGCCAGGTACACATTTAAACTGCAGAATAAAACACCTGGTATACAACTCTGCAAATTACCCCCAAAAAAACCCACCAAAACACACCCGTCCTGCAATCTACTTTTTTGAGTTCACGAGAAATTTCTCATCTGAGTCTGAAGCCACCACAAATTCACTTCGAACAGTATCAACTGCTGGCAGAAAGTAATTCTGCATTTCAGCTATCCTGTCTTTTTGTTAAATAATATAAAATAAAGAGATTTGCACTTGCTGTAATGTCTGTGAGACGGCTCTTTCTCCAACACTACAACAAACCACCAGCAGTGAAAAACATCTTCCTCAAAAGCAGAGTGAGAAACATGTTTTCTGTATAATTAGAGTAACTGGCAGCATCTTGAATAGTTAGAGCTTCACAGAACTTATGCACTGAGGAATTATCATTGTTCACAGTTTTCCAACTCTCACTTCCCATTCCTTTCCCCTCTGGTATTCAGACCTTTCTATTTACCAGAAGAGCAGCAGAAGAACATGAGCTGTGCCCTCGCTGGTGAGGACTGGCAGGAGGAGAGGGAAAGGCAAGGAACAGGTGTCATGTAACACACCAATCAAAGCAGCCCAGCTTCATCACATACAACATAAGAATTCCCCATTCGTTTGGAATCCCTATGATTGTTATCAGCTCACACTGGTATTTTCTTCCATTTTTCCTCTACCACCACCTGGATTTATTTTTTACCTGTCATTAGGCACAGTGCTAAAAGTGCTCACTCCAACATCACATTAAGGGCAATTATCTACCAGCCACACAGCTCAGAACTCGTTTTTTAAATGTCACTACAACTCCACTGTTTCCATTCCCACATCAGCATCCATAAGCAAACAAGAGACAAAGATCTGAATCGTTACATCAGACAAGGCTCTGAGCAACCTGTGGAAGCAGAAGGTGTCCCTGCCCATGGCAGGGGGGTGGAGCAGGTGGCCTGTAAAGGTCCCTTCAACCCAAACCACTCAGTGATTCCGTGGACAGTCCATTACTGCCAGTGCTTGAGAAGTTCTCCCTTACCGTTCCTAACCAGCTCCTTGTTGAAAGCACTTGCTTCACAGTAGCTTCGTCCTTGTGAGACGGGAACTGTCTTCATGTCACCTGCCCTGCAGGTGTCGGTGCTACTCAGTAGCGTCATGGTTATCACCTGGATCAGTTCTTTAACAATTGTCCTTGTGCAGTGGGGGCCACTCACCAGCCCGTTGGAGGGGAAAAAGAAAGGTTTTAAGTGACGAGCGAGTTCGTTCCAGTCAGAGACACAGTCCTGGTCATCCTTACAGCCATAAATTAGTTCACCATTCTGAAAGGGGGGGGAAATGAAGAGTCTTTAGGCACTTCATGAAATCAAGTATTTCATACTGAGCTATTCAAAGCGTTGGATTTAATATTTTAAGCACAGGAAGGTGTTCTTAGCTTAACAATCTCCATACAAATACACACGACATGCCCAGTCTTACAAAGTGCCCTCTTAAGTTTAATCAGATCCCACATGTAACAACCTCTGAATGAGGAGCAAAAACCCCATTTAAACCAAGTGCTACTTTCTTAACTTAATTAACTGTAAGGAATCAGAACAATACAAGTGATCTGATACTTGGCACATTTTCCTATCACTTCTTTCTGAATAATGTCAGGAGTGAAAAGGCACCGTGTGAAACAACTTTCTTTTACCATTCAGACTGGCAAAGGGAAGGCTGTGAAAGGGGACAGAAAAGGTGTGATAGTTACCTGTGCTAATAGAAAAATAGGACAGTTCATAGAAGTTTAAGTAATTCAAATAGTTGATTTAATACTGGAAATAAATTGCAGAGTCTTGTTTCCTAGAATTAATCTGAAAATCTCCATAAGCCATAAGTTACTGCTTTATATTTTTTCTACGTGAATGCCATGGAAAAGGGAACTTTTTCCTTCCCCAGTGAGACCTGCTCTGCATTTGGCCTGCATCAGAGTTCCAACAGGAATTTAAAACCAAAATATTTGCAGCAACATGCAAAGTTCTCCATCTTCTTCCTCCTGAATTTTTAAAACTTTGGTCAGACTTAAAAGTCCTTTTCTATTAGTTGTTCCTCAGCAATTCTTTTAGACTAATTTAATTCCCCAGGGAAGTGGTCACAGCACCAAGGCTGCCTGAGCTCAAGGAACATTTGGACAAGGCTCTCAGGCACACGCTGGGATTGTTGGGGTGTGTCCTGTGCAGGGCCAGGAGTGGGACTTTGATGATCCTTGTGGGTCCCTCCAGCTCAGGACATTCCATGACTCTGTGAATTCTGGGAAATTATTACTTATCTGTCCTAACCTGAAATCTAATTCAGAATTTTCCTGTTTCCTTCTTTTGGTGGGGTCCAAAAATGATGGTGCTGATTGGGTAGGTTTGAAGTAAGATCTTGACTGTTTACATGCTGAAGGCAAATTGTTTAAAAGCCAAGGCAAAAAAAGCAAGTAGAGATTTAACTGTTTACCTTAAATATTTTCAAGTTGTTCTGTGCCTCCTGTAATAAGCTCTTCAAAGCAAAGTGCATTCTCTGTTTGTTTCTAGGGAAAACAAAAAATAAAGCCGAGAATGTTTTATCCCAGCCTTTGGATGTTCACACCTGGCATGAGCTGAGGTCACTGCAAAGGCAAAGTGAGCTTCAAATCTGAGTAAACCAAACAGCTCTTGGCTGCAATGTTATGCAGCAAGAGGCACTGGCACATTAATAAGCAGCTCTGATTCCCGAGATAGGTGTAAATAGACAGCACCAGAAATATTCACTGTAAAGGTCACACAAGCAGGCATGGATTATCCTTAATACCTCAGCAAAAGGCAAAGGAATCTGAGAAAATCTGCCAAAAACCCCCCTGTGTTACAGATTCCTTTTGGCAAAAGCGCAGAATCCTTACCCTGAGAAGAGATCCAACGGGCAATATTTACTGGGTCGCTTCCATTTTCCGTTTGCTACCTGTGGAAAACCAGAGCACTGCTGTTACCCACTGTCCCTGGAATAACTGCTCTCTTGTTTTAACAGTCAGGTGTGTGCACTGACATCCTGCCTTCAGAGGTCCCACAACATTTAAACCTCTTTGAACACAAAATTCATGACCACTGTGGGCCTTCCTGGTCATTTTTCCAGTCACTCAAATGCATTCACAAAGGGAGGAAGGTCACATTAAATCAGGGAGGTCCAGTCACTCCGTTTCAGACTCACAATGGACACGAGTCCAGTGAACTCTGTGCCTGTTACAGGCTGTTTGTTGTAAGTCACAGAATGCACTGGGTGAGCTGATCCTGAAAGGAAGTTCCACAACAGAGTTTACCCAACCACAGCGTTCACAGGTCCCAAAGACCGATATTGTGTTTGCTTGCTTCCAGCTTCCCACAGAACTTGTTCCATCTCTCACTAAACAAATTCACACCCAGCAACTCAAGCTGTGTATCCACCTACCAGCTTTAGTCATATCGGGGATTTGAGCAAGTTTTAACAGGAACCCAAGCCTGGAACAGCAAATAAAGCACAGTCCAGCCAAGGGGAAGCAGGATGACTTAATAATTACCTTTAGATGCTGATGCATACAGTAACGACACACCTTGTGCTTTATCTCCTGTGAAACATGGCTGGAGAAAGGAATGAAGCCACACTTTGGCTAAAACAAACAAACAAACAAAAGACTGTAAATATAAATGTATCTCTCCATAGAAACAGAAGCACACACAAGATGCAAATCTTTCTGGTTAAAGGAAAATTTTAAAAAATAATTTAAAAAAAAATCCAGCACTTAAAAGCTGAATACTACTCCCAATTATTTCAGAGAAATATTTTATTTAAATATTTATTTTTAAATTATTTTAATAAAAAAGGACACAAAACTGCTGTGGCCTACAGAAAAGCGTAGTAACATCTGGGAATTTCCCAAGTTTTGAAAAATCAGGAATTAGAAGAGGGGTTACAGTGAAAACTGAGCTCTGCCTTATCCCACTGCTGCATTCCTTGAACTGCTCTGGCTAGTAAGTATTAAAAAAGGCAAAGGAGCCCCCCGAGGAGCCTCTCCCCCAGACCTTGATCTCGATGCAGAGCAGGGGTCGGTGCTCGGCCAGGCGGTAGCTCTGCGGCCGCGTCAGGTTGGGAAGGCACATCGCGAACCCGCTCAGGGTGTCCATGTCCTTGTCACAGCGACACTCTGGGGAAGCAAAGGAAAGCCAACACAAATGTCAGAATCAGCTGTGTGCAGGTTTGTTTGCTCTGCAGCCATCCCATCTGCCAGCTGGGGTGTGGGAACAGACCTGGAAGCGCAGGACTCACAGTTTGGGAGGCTTTAGCCAATTATGCGCTTGCACAAATTTGCCCTCCCTGTTACCAATGCCCAGGTTCAGTTTCCTCAAAACTGTCCCGGCCACAAGAGTGCCACAAGGGCTGCTGTTAATGGCCAGCTCCCAGCTCCTCCCAAGAAAGGTGACACCTGAAACAGCAAGGAAATGCATTGGCCAACAACAGGTAAAGTGACTAATTAGTGTATTTATTCAAAGATGTGATCTCGAGTTTGCTTACTAAAGCTGCACGACCTACCATTCCTCAGCTGGGTCAAGAGGAATCTGTGAAAACTGCCAGGAATATCATAAACTTAAGAGGCATTATTTAAAAAAAGCCTTTAAATACCCTCTCTCCACGTGCATCCTTTGGGACACAGAAAGGTCTGTGAGATTTTAGTTCAAAGTTAACAAGAACACAGACCCCTCAGTTTTCAAATACCTCTGTTACTAAAGAGAGACACAGAACACACGTGTTCTGTTACAGTTTCCACTGCCAAGAAAAATGCCCATTGTGAAAAAATACATTGCAATAGAAAAAATAAATCCCAGAAACTGAAGCCTCATTAGGCACCAGCCTGCAATGACTTGCTGCACCTCACCAGGGTGAGCAAGAAACCTTCTGTCTCCAACAAAACGCTGGGGTTTGATTTCTAAACTTAAGCAAAAGTACATCCACCTTCCCAGCTGAAAGCCACCTGCCAAATCAGACAGACACAGAAATATGAATTATTAGAGAAGCTCCTTCATAAGTTAGACAGGCGTATGTGAAAGGTAATGTTGAAGGAAATTCTCTCCTCAAGGTTTAAAAAAGATTCCTGTTAAAAACGGGCAGTGGGATTTGCTGTTGTAAAGCACTTGGACAGCTCCTCACAACCATATTTCAATCCTCAGCAGCTGTGGACACACAAAGTTTAATTTTGAGAAATAAAACTGAATTCTATCACTCAATTCTACCAGAGTATCACTGACTTTTTAACTTCTATGAAACACTATTTACTTAAAACTATTTACTCTCCATGCTGGTTTCTGGCACTGTGGAACTGCTTCTCAAACAGGTGAGGACAAATCAACAATGGAGAGTGTCCTGTGTTCACTACATGTAAATTAATTCAATATTTTTCCTGGATCAAAGGCAACAAAGCAATCACTACAGCACTTTGATTTAATGCCACATTTTTCTTCAAGAACTTTGCTAAAGCAGAAGTTTCTGACCATTCTAAAAAACATAAGATGAACACACCATGAGGGCCCTTTCCTTTGCCCCGTTTGGAGCTCAGCCACATGTGAAGAACATGCACCAGGTGCTGCCAACTGTGAAAGGTGACACCACGTTCTGTAGCACTTCCCTTCACACCAAACACGTCACAGGTTGCCAAACTTCCAGTCTTGCAGCACGTTCCCAAAGTTTTCACAAGGTCAGCACACCCTCACCTCACACATTGTCCCCATCAATCCCTCGTGTCCAGGGGACTAGAAAAGCACGGCTGCAACTGTTAATTCCAAAGCACGTCCATTTCCATTTTTTCCACAACAAATTTTCAACTTATCATTGTCTCAATATTACATAAAGTCTCCTTATATTCTGAGGTATAATGCTTTTTAACTTTAGAACAAAGGAAAATGCTTTACAGCTTGAGGCAGCCCCCGTTTTAATGCCATCCCTGGCACTTACCTGGCCTCTCTGGCTGGATTTTCAAACAGAGCTGTCTTACGAAGTCTAAAGGCAGTTGAATAATTTCCTATTAAAATAAAAAAATGTATTTCAACACAAAAATTAATACCCAGTTTTGGGGGGGGGTCTTAAAATGGAATTGCAAAGTTCAGTGGGTGTTAACAACAGTACACTGAACTACATAAGTCAGCAGCTTCTCCCTCTGATTAACTGTGAAGACCTGTACCTGCAATCACAGGGAACACCTGCTGCACTATAAAAACAAAGAACTGATTTAAATAAATGCATAAGAAAGAGCCTTTTCAGTGCAAGTGTAATGTGCACGAAGGAACCTGCATCATTTTATCCTTTTCACAAATGAAAAAGTCCCTTTTCATCCTCACATCCCACCCTTCCAAGGCAGGACTGTGTAACTCAAGTTCCAGGTGAAGCTGTAGCTTTTCCACCCAGGTATCTGATGTTCAGTGAAGGAGATCTGGCTGCCCTGAAGAACAGAGTGAGTGGCAAGGGAAAAGGTTATCTGTGAATGCACAGAAACCTCAACCATTTATATGAACCAGGTTTCACCCCTTGTTTTACAGTTAAGTCTAAAAATCCCTCTTACACACACCCCTCTTGCCTTATGTAGAGCAGAGAAACGACCACTCTTTCATTAGAAGCTTGAAACAGCCATGGAGACAATCCAACCGCTCATCAGCACAGAGCAGGATCTTTGTTCTCATCCAAATGCTCCTTGTGTGTGTGTATTCAGAGCTCCCCAAACACTTCGGTGTTTACAATGCATAAGCCATTTCTTTTAAGAATAAAACATTTACCCCGTGGTGAATGTAGTTCTCCCCAAAGAACTGCTTCATCACATGTTTTCCAAAGTCTACGATGTTTTGCAGATGGTGTAGTATTTCCTGTGAAGTCTGGAAGACAGAAACGTGGTAATTTAGCTCTGAGATAATGATAAACAACACTCCAGAACACATACACATGCTAGTCAGTGATTTAGCAAACAGCCTAATTGCTGAGCTTGGTAGGTCAGTGCACACTGAAACTAAACAGGCACATAATCTACGTTTGTTTCTGCCTCAGGGGCTGGGACAAACACAAAAACAGCCAGAGATGACGATTCTTAAGTGTCAGGGGAAAAAAAGAGAGAGAAAATTACAAAGGTGGAAGACGAGGAAGTTACTGAAAAGCTACTCTGTCTTTGACCATTATTCTTAAAACAACTCAAAGAATTCTAGTAGTCCAAAGAGGCCTTCCTGTCAACAGTTGGAGTGCAGGAGAGGCTTGGAGTGTTACAAAATACCTCATGGAGATTGGGAAGGGAATGGTTGGAGAGACAGACATCACAAACCTCGGCACGGACAGGTACAGAACTTGCCATTTGTCCCAAATCCTGCCCCAGACAATGAAAAATCTTACTGTAATGTCATCCTCTGTTAATTTTGTTTTATGTGTGTATAAGGAAACTCCAAGTTCTTCTACAAGACAAAAATGCCAAAAGATAGAAATGAATTTCCATGAGTACTGGAAGCAGGACAGGGACATGGGTACAGTCAGACTTTGACAGCTCCTGCTCATTAAAGAGGGAGCAAAGAAGCCTTATAGCAGTATTATCCCATTCCCAGTGCTCCAGCACACTCTGGTTCTGTGCACAGTATTTTAGTGTTACAATAGACAAGCTTCTCTGTGCTTTTGTAAGACAAAAAAAACACCACTAAATCCCCACACTGGGATTCAGTGGAGGAAAAAGAAAGTGCAACACTCAGGTACATGTTAGAAAATCGGAGAGGGGAAACAAGAAGAGCAGAGCAGGAGAAAATAAAATGCTGGAGGGCAACACTCAGATACTGCCAAAGTCTAGAGAAAGGAGGAAAGACCACATCCAACAAAAATTACAGATGCCATAGGGAAAAGGAGCTTGTCACTAACAATCTTACTGACTTGGTTTTATAGTGCCATCACAACAGGGAGATTTTCTTCCCACAGCACCATTTCCACCATTTCCATAAAGGCCAGGACAGCACTGATTATTTAAAATACTTGACAAACCGTACATGGAGCTGCTCCTCAGAACAACTCTCCCTGAAATCTTTTAAGAGAGCCAAAATCACCGTGGAGTCTCTTCCCAACAGGCAACCTTCCACTGCTCGAGCCTCAGAACCAAACACACTAAATGCCTCAGTAACTTTCTCAATGGCACTACTCTGATCTGAAGAAAGTTGATTAACTCATCTTGCACTAGTCAGGAATACAGATTATCCCTAAAAAATATCTTCTCCTCTGTCATGTTGCTGATTCTCCAGGACTTGTTTACTGATCTGAAGATAAAGTATTTAGTTTACTGTTCTGCTCCAAGAAAAAAATGATCCTAAAAAAAAAAAATCGATCACCAAGATAAGTAAATATATTCAAATTACAAAGTCATCTATTTAGAGGAAGCTGTGTATCACAATCCCAACCCAAGGCAAATGCAGGATGCTGGAGCTGGGCACAAGCCTTTTTTCCTCATGTTTCACTATCCCAGTCCATAACACTATATGCAGTGCCAAAGTACTCCACAGCACCATTATCAACCTCACTGCTGTAGTGTGGAACTGAAAAGTCATTTCCTGGCTTCCTTTGTGACTTTGTCATACTCTGTCAATTTTTTAAAAACAATTATTATGCAACAATCTCTTCCAACTTAAAAAAAAAAAAAAAGAGGAAAAAAGCTGGTACTCAGTGTTTTGTCTTCTTAAATAAACTGTAACAGAGTGACTTTATAATTAAAGTTGTGGTCTAGTTCTCCCTTGCTGTATTAAAAATTGAGATAAACACTGTTTCCTTTGCAATCCACTGGGCTCTTCCCCGTTCTTGTTAACACTCTAAACATTATCATCTTGGGCTACTACAGAAGTACAAGATACATTTTTGAAACCATGCCACTATAAGCAGCTCAAGAAACAACTTGAACCACACTTTAGGTTCACCAGACCTTTTTTCAAGTCAAATAGTAGCAGAAAGGCCATCAAATCACTCACACTGTGTTCAGGGGTTCTTGCCTTCCTCTGCTTTACTGGAGAAACTTCTCCTTTGTCCCTTGTTAAACTGAATGTTTTTCACATTCATCTTCCTGATTTAAAGCAACAAAATGCCCTTTCTATGTTTTCTTTACATTCATCCTTGTTTCTTTTTTCCTGAAATGAAGCACACGCCCCCCAGCTCTCAGCAGAGCCTCAATGCTTTTTATATTTCTCTCACCAGAAGAACCCACCACTGCCACTGAACCTCACAAAGCCACGGTTCAGGAGCTGCTGTAACTCCAGCCATTCCCTTTATCTCTCAGGTAACACACACCCTAAAGACTTCTCTTGAGGGTGAGGAAATGAAAGAATTTGAACCTTGTGCTCTCTTTTCTTTTTTTTTTTTCCTTGGAACACTGTGTTCACCCTCCACCTTTGCTTCTCGATCATTTTTTATCCCTGTTAAAAGAAATCTGAAGTAACTCACTTCAGTTGCTTCTCGAGCAGAAAAACCTTATTCTACCATCCAAGAAACTGGGAGACTGTGTCCTGTTCTTGACAATAGACAGGACTAAAACCACTCACTGACAAAGGCTATTCTGTGAATATTTCATGTGTTTGTTCAAATTCCATGGCTTTTTAGCTACTGAATGGGTGGTCAGCAGCAGACCTTTACCATGACACCATTCCTGAGCTGTTCCTGTTCTGTCCCAGCTAAGAACAACCAGCAAAACTCATTTCTTCCTCAGCATCCCTGCACTCCTGTCCGTGGATATGGAACATTCCCACTGTCTCTGTGCCACAGAAAGCTGTCCCCTCTAACACATGGCAGTCTCACACCCTGCCCCACACAGAGGGCTTGGTATCAGCACTCACATCATCTTACTTACGTAAAGCGACCTCAAATTTCCTCCTGTTGCCAAAACCCCTGAAACATGGGCACATTTCAAAACATCCCCTTACTCCTACTCCTGCCAGTCACAGCTCTTTCAGGGGTTTCTTGTTTCTCCTCACACTGGCTATTAGTTTACCTGAGGGCTTTTAGCAAAGGGACATGTTGAATCTTACCTTAGTCTGGTTGGGGGGGGACTTCAGGAACCGCAGCACCACACAGCGCTGGAGGGAGAGAGCACAGAGTAGGGTTTCGTTAGCATTTCATCATTTATGAACAGCACAATTGTCTGCTCCCCCTACCTACCCCCTCCCAGAAATTAAGGGGAAAAAAAAGAAAAGCAAGATGGGCATTTTAGATGGTTATTTCACTCAACCTGAAATCAAATACACCGGCTGAAATCAAACACAACGATGCCTGCTGCCAGCTTTGCCATCGGTTTAACGAGGCTGCCACTGCATTTCCAGTCACCAAGTGCACCAGGGAAATGCTCCCTCAGCTCACAGCACTGCTCTGGAAATGTGGGAATGCACAGTATTGACAGCACCACCCTGGCATTTGTGCATCAAAGGTCTTGGGGGACAAAGAGAAACAAGACCCACTTCACTCACAGTATCAGCACAGCATCACAACATCTTACAGGGACACTTACCACCAGCAGCAGCTACACAGCTGTACTTACAAACATTAAACCCTGTTACTGCTAAACTTCCACAGAGTAAACACCTAACACAGAGATAAATGCAGCAGGTTTCCAAATATTTTACCTTAAAACCACAGAAAATTCACTAATTTTTGTAATTTTTACCATTTTTATCCGTTTTTAACAATTCAAAAACCTTCATATTTTCAAAGTGCATGAATTCTAAAAACATCCTCAGCCTTTATTTTTAATATTTCAGATTAAAATATTTCATAATTAGGCCTTTCTCCTTAAGCCTATTGAGTGTCTTCCATCACAGAAGTTAAGTGAAGTATCTTTCTCTCAAAAAAATCTTGCTGAAATTTAACCATTAAACTTAGTAAAGAGACTTTTTGTATTAAAATCATATTTTGACATGGTATTAAGTAACCTGCAGGCTTACCAGGCAGGGCTGTGTGGTAACAGAGCCCTGTTGAGCCTGTATCTCTGTGTGCACGGTGTTGTTGTACACTGTTTCAACTGTTTGGATCTCCTGTTTTAATAATTCATAAGCAAGTGGATCAGTGATGGAGTGATATGATTATCACTTCTCATCCCTTCAGAAACATGATTCTGTAGTCTTTCAAGGCCAGTGTAGATATTTATCTATTAATCAGTTCCCAGCCAACAAGGTTCCAACCATTGCTTTGGAAAACCCAATTGCTCTCACAGGACTCACTAGGTATTAGTTCATTACCAAGTCATTTCTAAAGAGGCACAGTAGGATAAAATGACCAAGATTATACATGGCAAAAGGAGAACATGCTGCTTGCCTAAGATGTCAAAAGCAAACAGCAACGTTCAAACAAACCTTCACAGAATTACAGGTGCACTCACACCAGTCCCCCCGCACTGCGCCTCACTAAGGCTTTTAAATGATTAGAGCAAAACAAAACCCAACAAAAAAAAAACACACCCCAAAACCAAAAACAAACCTCAATAAACCCCAAAACACTTCTTTCCTTTCTTGGGGCAAGTTTTCAGCTACGTCCACCCCTCTGTGCAATCCAACACGCAGTGACAAACACACTGCCACAGCACCAAGTTAACCCATCAGATGTCACAGATGCCAACTGCTTCAGAATTATCACCACCCAAAATACTGGCCCATATTTTCATGCTATTGCTTTCCTGATTCACATGAGTGATTCTTTACTTGGAAATATTGTGGGTGGTTGTTGCCATGAGGGGTTTTTTTTCAGTTAACTTAAATGCCTTAGACTTTTTTTTTATATTTAAAGATTGAACACCAAAGATGTACCATGCTCATCTGTATGCATGGAAATGGCCCAAACCCAGAAGAGAACAGATCTCTGAGGAGGTTGTCACTACTCCTTAAATCCTTGGAGAATCAGATCGACTAGATCCCAATGCTCCCTAAATTTCATTCTCCACAAGCAGTGGAAGGGCTTACAGAGGTGCTTAACACCACTTCCATCAAGGCACCACCACCATCAGAATATTTAGCTGGATAATAGTCCCAGACACACAAAAAGATGAAAAATGCAGGCTGCAAGCAGAAAAAAAAAAGAAACAGTGCATGGAGGTATGCAAATGTAACACATGGAACATTAAAAGGCTTCACACCTTTTGAAGTAAGACAAGCTAGAAAAATAGTGAATTCAAAGGAAGAATTCTCTCTACTACTTTTTTTAATCCTGCATATGTTCAGTACCTAGTTAGTGACAAGACTAAAAAAACCCAACCCATCAGAACAAACACGACTGCTCTTACTCTCAGATAAAGAATTCAAGGGCGACCGACACAGGAGACTCTCACATGAGAGCACAGCAGCTCGACAGCAGATAACAAACAATGTCCTCAGTGGCTCCAGGACCACACGAGGGCTACTGTGACATTCCCAATTGTCATGGAAAGCTCAAAACAAACACAAGCAACAAGGATAACAAAACTGGTGTCTCTGAAAACACATCCACAGGCGCTGCAACCAGAAGAGCACTCACAACTAGGCCACAGCGTTTTCAGACTCCAGCCTGAAGGTTAGGGTCCCACCAAGAAAGGCAAACACTTCTCGAGCACCCTATCACCAAACAATTGTTTGGTTAAAGCAGAAGGAAGTTAATCATTGCCAATAAGGAGAGAAGCTGTGGGAGGGGCTGTGAAAGCACTCAAAGAAGTCTCTGCATCACAGAACCACAAGGATGTGAACACACGCAGATCCTGTCCTCGTGTACCCTGGGAAAAAACAGTGCCGGTCTTAGTCCCCAAAACGTTACCTGCAAGAATTTCTCTTCTCCAAAGCAGTTACTACAGCCATTATTTTAATCTTACTCAGTGAAATCCAAAAAACAAAGTAATCCTTGGTAGCTCGGCCAAAATATGACTGGGCACCGATCCAGGTACTTTGGATTAGACAGTAGCATTACGAAACCAGGACAAAAGCTTACATTTATTTCTTTACAGCCTGATGTTTGATAGTGGCCTTATTTTATGACCTCGCTGTCATACAGTGCAGGCCTCCTGAACTGGAATGTTTTCACAAGTGAAACACAACTGGGGCAAATCCATAATCTTGATATTACCCTTCAGGGAACAGCCTCGTTTGCATCACTGAGGTTTTTATTCAGGTTTCCATCTCTTGCTACATTAGTACCAAAATCTGTGTAAGAGATGGTGGCTGTGAAAGAAATAGGAGAATTTGTATAAAAACAAGCTCAACTGCTGGTACTATTGTTTAGAATTATGGAAAGATGTGTATTTTCCTTCTGCTGTTACCACCTCAGCTCACATGGATTTAAAATAAAAATATAAGGAATTAGCCTGTCCAAACACAAAGCCTGGGAAACATCAGCTTCTCCTTTCCCAAATAAGCAGGTTCACGTCATTTGTTATTACTCCATTATTATTCTAACCAGCACACATTAACTGCCTTTGTCTGGAGGCAGAGCACTACTCTGACATCTCTTTCTGCCACTGGACAAGATTCCCATCTAGCTGATTACCAGCTTGTGTTCACATCTGCAAGATCCACGGGCAGAAAACAAGACACTTCGGGAAGAAGCTTTTTAAGTCCCAAAAGGAACTCCACCCCTCTTCCCACCCCCGTCAGTCTCCTAAATTCTGGCATCTAAAAGCTCACCAGTATTTTTGCAAGCGCTATCTGCAATTTTACCTCACAAAGTCACCTGCCTGTCTACTACACCCTGTTGTCTGAAAAGGCACAAGATATACAAACAGGACAAGAGAACCCACAGTTCTTTTAAAGTCCATATAAAAGTCACAAGCTTGCAGCCATAAACATGGGGGAGAACACTCTCAAAGACTGGTAATAAATCTTTCCCTACAATTCTTACTGTACTATTTTTTGCAACCAATTAAAAACATCAACAACCACTGCCAAAGGAGATGAAGATAAGAAGTCAAATTTACTTCTAGAAAAAATAGTGTCTGTAAAGGCCCATGAACTTCTTTATACAGTCAAAACTGGTTGTTCAATTCGTTGTCCTTTGACGACACTCAAGAGCTACCAAGAACTTACCAAACAGGGCTCTAAGGATCCCAGATCTCCTGCCACCACTGTAATCATTCAACACCACCTAATCACTGTGGATTTATGGCTGTGCACAGCAATGACAGCTACAGAAAGTACATTCTATCTACATTTCAGTCAAAGGGAGGGAGTCAAACTGAACACAGTGATATGCAAATAATAATTAATGGCTGTTTCAATGGTACTCAATGTGAACTGTGGAACTGTTTTGCTGATATCAAGCTGTCCCTGCAGTAGCACACTGGAGCCGCGTGCACTACATGCCAACTAAAAAAAATTATTCTGACAACTTTTATTCCAAATCTACATTCCACAGCCCCTTCAATTCCGACTCTAGTTTGAGGGATTTGAACAGAAAACAATGGTGTTCTATTCAGAAAATGCAACTTCTGGGAAGGAGGAAAATGGACAAAGAGGTGTTATATTCACATCTCAGAAAAGACAGGGACACAGAGGAGAGTTCCTCCTTCTGAGAACTGATAAAACTCAGGAAAAACATGCCCACCACACTGCCCAGACACTTCAGCCAAAGCTTACCTTCATGATATTCAACACGAGGCATTTTTAAAGGTCTCCTCATCCAGGGTGCTGTGCCATGTGGAGGGATGTGAGAGATGGAAACAAACTAAGTGCTAAAAAATTTTGCAGCTTTTGAATGAAGTACACATGGCAGTATTGTACACAACTGTTGTTTTCCAACCCAGTTCTGTTCTGCATAAGGTGGATAAGATCACACAAAACAAAGCAAGGAAAGCTACATTTCCTGCCCGTATGGAGGAAGTTTAGCAACTGCTCACACATAGTGTAAAGAAGCATTCAAAAATCAGAACAATACTCTTTTATTTAGCATAGGAATCCTTGAATAACAATGTTTTTATTTCTTTACATGAATAAAGAATTTCTGGCATAGCACCTGGCTTGACAACATTCAATATGGCAAACCATTATTTGAGAGCAAACCCCCCATGATACTTGTTTCCTTTAGCACACAGCTCACAGCTTGCATCAGACTTCAGGTGCTCATTCCAATT